TTGAGTGGCTAAAAAAACTAAAACGAAACATGTGTTGATCTTTGTATAGTACAGTTCTTGAATATCGAACATTCTTAAATATATATATTAGCTATTACTATTATTTATCGTTTTGGGTTCCTAGCGTTTTGTTGTTCACATTTATTCAACTGGTCAAAATGATACTTTTTCCTAAACAGGAAAGTTTAATCTCCTTGTTTTATACAAGCAGTATTCTTAAATCAAATCCGTCTTATTCGTTTGCTCTCCATACTCTATTTAATTTAAGAGGACAGTGGTTTCCCACTGTCTACTTTAACAGTGCCATTGAACAGAAATCCATATTAGTCGAGTCTAGCGACTTGAACTTTTGTATCAAATATCCATTTCATTCTCCAGCTGCTTAAGGTGTGTGACGATAGAATGGATATATCTAGAAGTATTTTATATACAAGTAACTTGTGTCGCTTTTCCAGACGAGTATCGTTCTCGATTATGTTGTATATTTATTTACCTGGATGGCTATTGCCACTGACCTATATGTTTGTGGATTCTCATATATTGCAAAACGCCGCACTTTGCTTACCACAGCTGAGATAGAACTTGTTGCAGGTCTCTTTCTCTATGATGCTGAACCCCAAGTTGATCCACATTCCTTATTTTTCCAGTGTTATTAAATACAAGGTTTATGGCGTAGGGTCTTGGAAATTCTAAATTTTCGGTCTGAAAACATCTTTGTGATCTGAACGTATGAACCAATTTCATTGGAAAGGGCTGTTACATATCCTTCATAAAAGCCATCAATTTGCGGTAGCAGTGCACTTCCTAGGACACGCCCAACAATGCTAAAATTCCAATTAATAACTTATATTCTGATTCATTTCTTTTCACCGTGACTTATATCGGCTGTGATTTTCAGATGACTTACTGATTTGCATATTCGAAATTTTTTCAATATATCTTACTGAACCCTCTGTGTTTTAAGGCTGTATGGGCTTATAGGGAAACTGAGAAGCCCACAAGGTCAAATAATTTGTCTGAGTTGTGAGTAGTAATACAATACATTTGAAGAAATATTTCACAATTATACATTAATACATTTAATTATTTTCTCAATTTAGTCAATAAGTTTATGTGAAATTATTGCAAATATTATGAAGGATAGCTTGTGTATTGTACTGAATACGATATATTCTTACAATACACTTCTTCAGTATAAAAGCTGAAACATCGTCTACTTTTTTTGAAATAGGCAGTTGGATTTTATTATAGTTTTCAAACTTACTATGTCTACTCTGCCTAAAGTTCCACTGAAACAACACCTTCGCTAGCCTGTCCCTAATTTTGAACTCATATACTAGAGGAAAGACAGCTAGTTGACAGCCCCAATTGCCAAGTATTTGGATATTCTTGCCTGACCGAATAATGGGATTTGACCGTCGCCCTTATAACGCACCACGTTCCAAAAGTGCGAAAAGTGCGTCATACGCCATAAAATTTCAAATGCGATTTGGTCTACTATAGTGTAGTGTGATTCGCTGTTTCTGGTAACTACATGTTCGAAATCAAAACAGTCACTTAATAGTGTTAGACTGGCGTAATAATAAAATTGAAGGAACTCACCAAGAATTTTGATAAGTTTTAGTAAACCTAACAAAGAGCGTGACTTAAAGCTTAAAGAGGCCTTGGAAGAAAACTGACTAGAACGTGACCTGAAATGTAGAAGTGTGTTGCAAGTAATCGATCAGAAGTTTCGAAACGGTACAGAATCTTTAAGAAACAAAGCTAAGGATTCAACCAGAAGTTTCTGGAAAAAATTGAACAAAAGTTAAATAAATATTTTAGGGACATTATAGAAATATATAAAACGTTATCAGTACGATTCGGAGTAAGTTTGTTTGCATATGATATCATGTTGAAATTATTGACACTAGGCGATGAATTTGATAAATGTTCACATTACCAGACATAAATGTGACTAGTAAACAATCTACAGAAGACTTGACTTTAGCCACGTTAAAACAAGATATTATACATAGGTGTTATAAGTGTATTTTCTTCAATTCCATTGACTTATATAGACATATATATCAACATCTTTCACAGCTGCAAACAGTTTTGAACTGTGTCATTTACCAAACCACATAAACCTTTAGGGTTCAAAAAACAGATTTGATGGCAAATTTTGTTGAAAGTATTTGTGACACAGTTCATTATTATTTTCAAGTTAGGGAATGAATGAATGAACAAGAAGGTCATCTCGCTGCCTGGCTGAAAGGAAAACGTTAATCAAATGACCAAAGGTAAACTGCTAGAAATCATTACAAGGCCTCGGTTTAGGACGACTTATCTAAGAGTTATCAGACGCGAAAGTCTAAAGTAGTAAGAAGAGGAAAACAAACATTAATAGAGTTCGATAAAAAAAACTTGAATGCTCATGCTACATTAATAGAGTTCGATAAAAAAAAAACTTGAATGCTTCTGCTACATTAATAGAGTTTGATAAAAAAAACTTGTATGCTCTTGCTACATTAATAGAGTTTGATAAAAAAAAAACTGAATGCTTCTGCTACATTAATAGAGTTTGATAAAAACTTGAATGCTCATGCTACATTAATAGAGTTTGATAAAAAAAAACTTGAATGCTCATGCTACATTAGTAGAGTTTGATAAAAAACTTGAATGCTCATGCTACGTTAATAGAGTTTGATAAGAAAAACTTGAATACTCCTGCTAGATTAATAGAGTTCGATAAAAAAAAAACTTGAATGCTCTTGCTAAGCTTTCTTTCTCGAAATTTCATGAATTTGGCATGAAACCATTTCCTTATACACGTTCAAATTGATTCAAAGAAGAAGCATATTTTGGAAGGCAGTTCACAAGTTAGGTGTTAAAATCTTAGTAATACTGAAGTTATATTCCATTATTTGTATATAAGAGACGAAGATAGAAAACATTAAAAAGGAATAACATCAATAACTCGTATCAAGAGCATTTTAGCTTTACCACCAATTGGCTGTCTTGAGATGTTTTAGAAAATCCTTTACAAAACATGCTTGAAAGGATTCTAATAGGTTATTTTCATTGACTTGAGGATTAATACCCCCTATTAACCGCAACCCGTGTTATTAAAGCTAAAGAAACATCAATACATTGTTCTAACACAGCTTGAAAGTGTCTTTTTTAATTTTGACTAAAATTTCACAAGTTTACTGACTGTAGATTTTTTGTGAGAAATAATCAATGTTAATCCATTTATACAATCCTTTTACTCGTTAGCGACGAGTTTCATTAATTTTGGAATTTTCAACCTGAATGGCACACGTAGGCAAAACGACAAGTACAAAGGTTAGCCGTTCTCAATTTGAATTAGTTACCAGAAGGAAAGGTAAGCAGCCATCAGCAACCACCGCAAAAAGGATTTTATCAGGATCTTTGAAACAAATAACGGGATTGACTGCCACTTTTATAACGCGCATAAAGCTGAAAGTGCAGAGAATCTTGAGCAGCATCATGTATAGCGTCCTGAAACCTTTCATCCGTATCCCTGTCCCTCGGTGGGACAGCGGTATGTCTAGACTTACAACACTAAAATCCGAGGTTTGATTCCTCACGGTGGACACAGCAGATATCTTAATGTGGCTTTGCTCTAAAATAAACAAACAAAGAATCCATATCCCGACATGCTAAACACTAGGATATGCCTGCCCCTCTTTGGTCTACCATGTTTTGAATAATCCCTTTCTGTAAAACACTGCTGTGTTAATAATGCTTACTCTGAATTCTACTGAAAACGTTTTGTAACGAATAATTGATTATATATATTTGTATATGTATTACGAAATACTAATAACTATGCGTAAGTTTGAGATTAAATAAAATATGTTTTTTTTTCACTAGGAATAATGTTATTCTATTTGTAATGTGATATTTATTGTTTGTCATTTTAATTTTCTTCCTCTATAATCACAACAACTCAATTCTCTTTCTTGAGTAAAAGGTTTCGTAACTATTCGAAAATATGCTTTTATAATATATTAGAGCTTAAAAATTATTCATGATATTATTTATCATTGAGCTAACTACTGTAGGATGCAGGATAATTTAATCATTCTACTTACAAATAGGCGTATAGAAACACTACTGATTAAAGAAATGATAATTTAAATACACAAACAAAATGATTCGGAAATGAATTTTCAGTGGATATTAATCCCTCTTCTATTTCATACCTTCCACCCTTCTACATAAGTTTAACCGCTGAATCTAATGTAATGTGAATAGTATGGCAAATTATTGGTTGGAAATTTCAGTTTGAATCATTAAAGAATGATAAAACAATACAATAATTTTACAAAGTAAAATGAAGTTCTGTCAATATATATTTATAATATTTTGTAAATATAATTTTATTATCACATTGGCTATTTTTTAGTTCCGCAGAAACATTTAGCGGGTTATATAAAGGTTGTCAGTTGCTATTGATTGGCTGTAGGTCCTCTCAATTTCGTTGGTTGTTTTTGCTATAGGTTCGTTTATCTTGTGTTAGGAAGTTTATGAATGATTAAAGTATAAGTTTGTTTTTGGAAGTGTGAAAAATGAGTTTTAAACTTAAGTTTTGGTTGACAGTGTTCATAATTGTTATAGTTTCTCAAATTTGTTTTTCTAAAGGAGTAAACGGTGGCTATCCTTGTGCGGGTAAGTTATAATAACTTAAGCATATTGGTAGTGTAATGATAAAATATTGTTCAATAACCATAACGTATATATTAGGAGATGCAAATGTCACTTTCAAGAAAGAGTCTCATGAGTTTTACGTTAGCTTAATATCGATGTTACAATTAACCCTTTTAATTGGAGATAAAAAAAGTTTACTTATTTTTATAGTGAAACGATAGTTATTTTAATAATTAACTCTTCTTCACCAGCATTACCGCGAACTGAACTTTTCTAAGTAGAGTCTTTATATATGTTTAGTCTTGAAAGTGCATAAAGTCTTATGATTCTATTTTTTTTTATAGCATGTACCGTACTTGTTGGAATTGCTGAACAGTTAGCTGCAATACACAATAAACCTCATACTTTGGTTAAAGTTTGTGACTACCTACCAGGATCTTATTTTTATCTTTGTAAGATTCTTTTCAACTTCTGGGGAGATTCTATTATTGAAAAGTAGGTTCTGTTTGTTAAATATTCCATTCCTAACTTTAGTCACTTATCATTAGTTATTATTCCAAGATGAAGATTAAAAACTACAATCGGTATTTGAAAGGACCTCTTGAATAACTTTTAGATAATTTGTGTATAATATCGGTAATTCCTGAAATATTAATCTAAAATGAATATAAATTAATCTTTGTTCTTAAACTTAACATGCGGCACCATCTAGTATCGCTTGCTGTCAATAATACTTGTTAAAATAATGTATTTTTAACACTGAATCAAATGTGGAGACTTAATTTTATCCTTTGCGGAAACACTTGTTTTAGACTGAGTAAACAACAGACTCCTGATGTGGTGTGTTACAGTCTTGGTATATGTCGTGTTGACGATGGACAGAACTATTGTCATCTTTTTCCAGAGCCAAAGGCAAGTTTTAATCCAGTATAATGGTGTTTATATTATCTGAAACCGTTGTTTTGTATCTTAAAAATGCATTAACAGATTATTGTGCTTAATTCGAATGTGGTTAATAAAATGCCATACACAGGTAAAAATTAAGTTCATAAGGTTGTGGAAACTAATTTTATAGCCTGTGTAATGAGACATTTGTGTATTTTGGACTTGACCATAAATGTAAAAATTATATTTGCCTATAGAGTAGAAACCAATAGTGTGTAATCCTAATTTAGCGGGGGTGAATAAATAATATAACATTAAATCAAGTGTATCTTGCAGATTGGAATGGCTAGAGCTACTGAAAAATCCAGACTAAAAACCAAAGTGCAGCCATTTTTTCACTGGGTAAGTGAACCTAATCTCAAGTAGTCATTAGTTGCCTTTCTATTTGTATTCATTCCAATTTCAAATTCTTGCATATTTTTGATGTTATTCACATCGCAAATAATATGAAGACATTTTTATTTCTTATCCGTATTGGAGTTAAGTAACACCTTCTCCGTATAGACTAATATTAAACATCGTGAAATTATATTTCTCCATACGTTGCTGGGAACTGTCCAGTTGAGTAATTTACTCAAGTAACTATTTAATTGTTTTGGTAAAAGTTCAGTAACTGCTAACTATCTGAAAGTTATTTTCCTTGTTATCTTTATCTTAAACATTGCTATACACTTACCCAAATGTAAAACCAAACTCTACTGCACTAACACTCGTTAATGTCTTAATAGGCTTGGGTCTAATTGACTTTTTCAATAAACTTATTTCTCGCTTAATGTATATTGAATACGAAGTTTGTCTTAAGGTATTTAAAGCTTGCATTAACACAACTACATATTAAACATAGACCGAGCTATTTCATGGTGCTTGGTACTATTCAAATGCCCATTGTATTAATTAACTTTACTGGTAAAGTCGTGTCATTGAATGTACTATACAAAGACATTTTCTTTTTCTTTAAGTCTTTGGTGCAATCATTGTCCTCCCCGTGTGATTTGCCTGGAATAAGACGTGTATGTGATTCTTTAAACCTGTGAGTATCCACTGATCATTAATTTTGTGACCATCTAGTGGTATATTATTATACTATGTTACATACAAGTGTAAATTAAATGATAATAATTATTATTATTAATTCACTACCATTCATATTTTTGATTGATCGCTAGATTTCTTTGTTCAAAATGAAATAGTGGTATCTTATTCTTGTTAACAGTAGCCTGTTGAGAGAGGAAATGGCTTGCTTATTAACTTGAATCTAAGTATTGCTCGAAATCATATATAGCGCACATAAATAACCAAGATTACTATCTTCTATTATAAAGTTGTAGGATTTTGACTATGTTTAAAGAATTGGCGCAAGTTTAATATTAATGTAATTCATCAAATTAGTGTTAATCTAATCCGAATTTCATGTCAAATGTGTACTTGAATACAAGTTAAACATTCATAAACACAAACAGTAGCTAGTTTTTTATTGTTAGTGAATATGGCTAAAATAATTGGACAGGCTTTCAATTTATGGATAGTCTGTATAGAACTTTAAGTCTTAACAACTATCGCATCCCAACCCCTGGAGTTTAGTATGACAATGGTTAACCATACCATTTTCTCTATTGACAAGTTTAAGTTAATTCTATTTCTGTTCTCTCGCATCGTAAAATATCTTAACGTTCCATTTTCTTTTTTTACAGCTTTAAAAAGAACCTTAATCCTTCTGTTGACCTTGATAAAGACAAGCACAGCACAATTCAGGTTGGTAAATGTTATATAATTCATATAGTGTTTAAATCTTTTTGAACACTTAAATGAATATTAACATCAAAATATTGCTCGAAGCCTTAAGTACAACGAAACGCTGCATATATTAAAGATCACCAAGACATGGGCTATAATGTGTGATACAAGATTTACCCTTGGTTTAGGAGGAGACTGTAGGATCTATATAGCGGTGTGAATACACCGTCTACCAGTCTTGACTTCCGTTCCCTATTTTTGCATGTTAAAGAAACCTAAAAAAAGTTGGAGCAAGATGTGGGTGCTCAAGCCTACTATGTCCCACATCTGTCACCCTTCACTGCCTGTAGGCAGTTGTGGCAGGTGACTGTTCTCCAAAGAAATGTTAAGTGAAAGAAACTAAACTTCTTACAAATTCGGGTTAAATAAAGGGAGCTTGCCTCTTGACGTCTACATTCCAGACCCCATTTTGTAGTAAAAGCTAAAATTTAACAAGCTAATTAAATTAATATTTTCATTGCTACGAGGGTCTTACTTCTGCAGTCGCCTCAAACTCTGGAAAAATCTTATCCTACATTATAGCCTGTACCCTGTGCAGAGTTTTTGTTGTCTTTAGCCACAGCATAGCGACTCGTATTTTTTATAAACTTTTAGCTCGTAGCTCCGTCATCTCTTGACCGATTTGAGATCTAATTAGTATTGGACTCGGGAGGTTGAACCCTTTCTAGTGATGTATTTGACCACGCCCAAGGTCTCTTAGATTAACTTGCTCTAATCCTGCCTAAACTAACTTTAAATGCCGCGGCTATTGAAGATTCCTCTTGTCAAGACTTTTTTTATGTCATTCAAAATTTATAATACATTATAGCTTTTTCCTTTTTAGTGTTCCTTACTCTTTACGTGATCTAAGTGTACTATATTGCAGCTAATCTCTGCATTGATAGAATTGACTGTAATGAATGGCACATAAAACTTGATGATAAAAATAACTGGAAATGGCAATTAAGTCTAATCAAAGATATAGTAAAAATTGTTTTCTTACAGGTATGAGTAACTTTTATTAAATTTTAAAGTTTATTGTTTAACTTGGGTAATAAATGTCTTCCCCTTTTAATGTACTTTCGAATGTAAATGTGACTTTCTTAAATACAGATTTAACAGCTTCCAATCTAACTTATTACATACTGTATTGAAGGCTAATACTACTACAACTTGGTCTATCAAAACAGCTGTGCTTTTCTAAAATGTTTCAATGTGAAATTAATAGTTATTTGTACAATAGTCTCGGATATTTATAGGTTTTACGAGGAAGTGTCTGGAGAGGCATGGACTGCAATGATTTCGATGATGCTGTTTATCCAGGACGAAAGTGAGTATTTTAAAATTATTTCGAACACTTGTACACTTCTGTCAAACTATTGTATTGCTACTTCGTAATCTACCTTGTTAAAAACAACAAAATGGTGCTATCTCGTATTAAGTCCTTAAACCCTTGGAGGTATGTTAACTTTCCAGTTTTTTGTCTTAAGCTCAAAATTAATGTTAATATCTTCGATCTTCTAACTGATCACGATGAGGAATATTGCATATTTAATAAAACCGGTTAACTTAATCTTTTATTCCATACACCCCCCCCCCCAACACCTTAAGTAAAAGGATAAACCTTGCAAGTACAAGGAAGGCTTATTGTGAGTGAGCGCATTGTTTCTTTCAGGCCACTAAAGGAAGATATCGAGACGGATTCCAACTGTAATGGTATTTATGTAAGTATAATTCTAAGATTCATAAATCTTTTCTTCGATACCATGTTTTCTGCTTATAGAAATCTTGTAAATAACCCATCTTGTAATTAAAAACAAATGTTTGGTATAACTACCTTTATTTATGGGGCGTTAGAAACAATTGACTTTATGTACCTAATTGTCTCCTATCGTAAAGGGTATTGATACTGACAGTGGCTATCCTTACGAGACTTCTCTCTGTGAAGGCACAGACCAGAGAGGAATAATCTACATTGGAGATTCAGTAGGTGCACACTTCCATATTCCTTCTGAGTGGATTACACCAGCAGAAATAACTCCGGTACTAAAAATATTTGTGAACATAGATTAAAAGAACTTTAGCGTTTAAACACTCGCTATGTACGTATATAAATACGATATAATCAAGCTTATCGTTTGTATTGTTTCAAATTTCTTTTCCTTGACATTTAATAAGTGACTTGATCAAAGGAAACTAAGTATTGCTACATGTATACTAAATGTGTAAGATGTTAGTTTAAGTTATGCCTAATGAGAGCAAGTTTATTTCATACTTTAAATTCCATGTAAATTATTTACAACAGCAAATGAAGGGAAGTTGACTTGTAATGTATTTATTTCCAGGGTATTTTTGAACACATCAGTTTTATCTTGGCCAATGAATTTGACTGGCCTCATCTTTCGTTTGCTACAGGTAAGTTTCGAACTAGCAATCACTCAACTACTTCTAGTACTAACATTTAAATGTAGAAGATGCAATTCGTGCAGTACAATATCGTAAGGACATTCTTTTTGGTAATTAATTCATTTCAACCTCTCAAAACTTAACTCCTACATGTGATTTTTCATCTAGTAGAACGCATAGAACTGTTAATTACAGTATTTAATGAAAATGGTACCAGATTTTACTACGCACTTTATATCATGCCTCCAATCAGTAGCACAAATAGTTTGTTAGTATATGAACAGATAAAGCTTGTCTTCAGTCCTGAAGTATTACGATTAATATAGCTTCCTTTGCTCAAAAGGTAACTAAAGGATTTACAACAATATCTAAAGCGAAAACTAATAATAGGTGTGATTGTATTCTTCACTTAATACAGAAGATGATCATTTTATAATAAATACATTTAGCGGCGGTTTCTTCGTATATACGGATGTGGGTGCGGTAAGTTTCCTTACCATTTTCAGCTTCCAAAACTAAGTCTTCAAGACCACCGCTAGAATTCAAGAGGCTGTACGTAAGTGTTCTGGGGAAGTGGATGTATCTACGTTACTTAAATTTGCACCTATATACAACATTATTCTTAACAAACTTCCCCATTATTTTCTTTGTCGCAAAAAGGTAACGCGATACATTTGTCACGTCACTGTCCCAAAATAATTTAATTACGGATTCAATTTTTGCATAGAGATCAATCTACTCTGAGTGATTTGTTTTTTGTCAACTAAAATCAATCTAGTAACAAAATCTGCTTGTTCTTGCATTTCTACTTGTATTATCAGTTGGGTATCTTCGATTTTAACGACATTTCTTGCCGCAACTCCAGGATCATCTGTCATGCTATTCCGCAAGTCATTTTTCTAACATAATCATCTTTACACTAATGGTGACTGTCATGAAAGCATAACAATATCCTGTATAAGCTACAAAAAATATTCGTTTAGAGCCTCGCAAAAACACTTTTGATATCCTGTATAAGCTACAAAAAATATTCGTTTAGAGCCTCGCAAAAACACTTTTGTAGTATTTAGTATTTCTCAAGCTTAACATCAACGTTTCCCAGATAATGAAGAAATATGCGCTGAATCTATCAGACCACACTTTCTGTAAGACTTGTGCTTGTGGGATAAAAAATATTAAACTTTTAGTCTTGGTCTAGAATCGTAAATTACGTCTTGTGAATTGTTTCCATTTTTCCTTTTGGTGCTGATACTGTCACATTAGCACTATTGGTCAGTTTCCCCTCTGTGCGTGGCATTTCTACAGAACTTTGACCAATCAAATCTTATTTTTTAGTTTAAGTTCAAAAGCTACTTTTACATGAACACAAGTTCCGTTAAATTTACCATAGGGCTTTGCTACAGCACTAAAATATTTAACATCCTTCTAATGAATTGGAAACCCAAACTCACTTTTTAAGAGTTTCAGGTCAAATACTAATCATTATATCAAAACGAGAGAACGCTGCTTACTATGATAGGATTCGAGAAATAGCATTAGTTGCCTATATTAGACTATTGTACATGCTGGGTCAAGACAGTTTCATAGACTTTAATTCTTTAGCTATTGGTTTTGTGTGAATATACTTTCAATCATTATTGATATGATGTAACGAAATGTAATTTACAAGAATAACATCAGCTAAATTGTAATTCCTGCAGTGTAAATAGCATTTGGGTAAATTTGCTATAACCCAGCTTCGACAACCATGATATGTCCATTCATATCTTCAGTGCTATCGTAACCATGATCTCAATATTGGCATCGAAATGAGTCTTGCAACATTTAATGCCTCGCCTATATCTCTGGTACACGACTTTTCTGTAACATTGTGCATCATCCGTATTCTTTTGCATTTCTGGGGCACATAGCAAGTTGCTTAATATTACTAATATTGGCAGACTCTACTAGTACTAAAAAAAAAAAACATTTCATTTCTAAAATTACTCAATTTCTTCTAAATTGATTTTGCACCCAGTGGCACAGCGAAGTCTCTGGATTTACGACGCTAGAACTCTGGCTTCGATACCTTTGGTGGGCAGAGAACAAATAGCCCATCGTGTAGCTTTGTGCTTAACTTCATGCAACTAACTAACCTAAATTGGTTTACCATACATGTATTAATAAAATTCGATAGTTTTAGATTCTGCGTCCAAGAAGCAAACAGTTCCGTATTACTTAATCTCGAATGGAGATATTTATTTAAATCTTTGCTTTAGTCATTTTTTTTCAACAAAACTTACTCGCTTGCGCATAGTGTGTAAAGGTAGGGGCCCCATATGTTTTAATAATTATAAAGTTCTAACATAATGAATAATAACTGCAGGTTTATTATAAATATTAATTCTTCAAATTAACAATTTACAAATTAACAATTTACTGAAGTTAAGTATCTTATGAACTATTATACTTAACATGGAGGTTAAATATTCATCAAGCATTCTTCGTATAATTTATTTCTTAAATATAAAAAATAAGTTTCTAGATAAGGTAAAATTGATTTATTGTATCCTACTTTATTACTGAAATTAAATTCGATTTTGTATGTATATACTACAGATTATTGGAATAGTACATAATGAAATCGTACCTAGTTTATTTTAATTGTTGTTCATACAATAACTTAATTTTCGAAAGGTTACATGGACTCGAACTGGCCACAAGCCAGATCTAAAGTGGATTCTTTGTACTGGAGATTGCACACAAGAAACAGATGCAATCACAGAGATTATCAAAACCTCAGTTTCAATGGTAAGTTTGGTACAACATGAAACTAGAGAATTAACGTTACTCTGTTCAACTTTTTCTTTGTACTAATAGACTTTACAAAACGGGAATTTGCAGATGACTACTTTAAACTTGGTAGTTTTATTACTATTCTATATTGTATTATCATTAAAGAATAATAGACTAAGAATTCATACATGTCGTAACAGTTATATTAATTAGTTCTTTTGTTATTGTCCACAATTTTCCCTCCTATTTTTAGGAGCTAATTCATCAACTATTCTGCACTGCATCAAAAGGTAAGTTTTAACTTAAAATATATTCAAACACATGCTTAACTCGTATTTTCTAATTAGTAATAAAACATTCTAAACCTTCAACACTTTCGAAATTAAATGCGTTTTTGTTACTTCATCTTTTATGGAGCTAGAATATAAGCTTATAACAAAGCTTAAGTTAATGTTTATGTATTGACAAATTAATCTATTTTAAAGCTTCGTATTACCGAAAGAGAAATTTAGGTTAATTATTTAAAATATTCTAAGCTATGTCCTATTACATAGAAATAGTTTCGAACTTTAATCTCCATTATATAATTACAATACTAGTTCTTTGGGGTGAATTCTGGAAATCTCAAGTTCGTTGTCTCTAGTTTCTTAAGTTGTATTGTCTTGTATTTCTTTAGTATATCTCGCTCACGAACTACTGACTATCCAGCTATTGTCTTTTATGCATCAATGGGAAATGATGTTTGTTTGAGGTAAGCATAATTTCACTTACTTAACCATTAAAATTGAAGACAAATTTGCAAAATATTTAATTTCCCAAACCACAATTAAGTATTGTGCACACCACTACTAAAACCTACGTCTTATTCTGACTTAACTTCAACATTCGAGTTTATACAAGATAAATGTTTTGTCAGTTTTAATAGCTTACGGCTGTTATGTAAGGCCTATGTACAATAAATTTTTTCTAGTTATATGGAGTCTCCAGCTGATTGGATTACTAAAGAAAAGTTCAAACAGAATGTGGTGAGAACCCTTGAGGAATTGGTAAGAATTGAAATTAGGAAACTTGTTTCATAAATGGTAACAGTCTAAAGTAGTATTTCTTCTATCAATACTATCATTATATTATCTTAGGCCTACTAGAGAAAATACAGGGTTTTAATGGTTAAGTGGTTCTATTAAACTTATCTAACCTTAAGTAGCTACACACACGCATATCCAATAATATAAATGTTAGTATCTATTAATAGTTACAGCTTGGTTAGCAGGGAAAGGAACCGAAACCGAATTAAATATTTCTATGGGGATAAGTGGTGTTAATGTATACTGATTTATAGCTTAACTGTAAAAATGTAGGTAATAAGAATTTTATCATATTTAGATAAATTTCACATCTCAGGTGTGTTAGGCTCCTGAAACTTTAAGAAAATTGCACTGAAATTAAAATAACGTCGTGTATTACGTAAACACTTCTTAACTACTTTACAGGATGAAATCCTTCCAAAGGATAGCCATGTGATCCTTGTCGGTCTAGTGAATGGAAGTTTCATTTATCCATCAATGGCCCATCGTATTCATCCCATAGGCCAACTACGTGGTGATGTCGCGTATTCGGATATCTACAAATGGCTCAATTGCATGCAGATTGGGCCGTGTTTTGGATGGATGAATGACAATAGTACATGGAGAAATGCTACTACAAAAGTTGAGTTTTCTTCATTATGTTGACATTAAACTTTTACAGTTCTTGTTAAGCTTGTGAACTTCCCATTTACTGTGATGGTGTATTTTAAATATTTCCTTAATTTATTTTCTTTTAGAAAGCTCAGGAACTAACGAATGTGCTGCAAGATTTATCTTTAACTTATTCTGCACAATCCTTTAAATTGTATTTCCTGGAAAACCCTATTTCAAAAGGTATTGTCTTTTTTGTTTATTTCAGAAATTGCATTTGTTAAAAACTTCAAATGCGTATCTAACAGTAGTTGATTCAAGCACCTTTTTTCGTTAACCATTTACATGAAAAATGGTAATCTGTTTGCTACCTAAACGTTAGTTCAGTCTGTTTTACATGACTATGTATATAATATATAACAATATATTAAGAACACCACTAATTCAAATTATCTGCTAGTTATTAAAACGTGGGAAGAGAATGGTGGTGAAAAGTGGCAGCTATTAGAACCAGTGGATAGTCTTCATCCAGCACAGGTACAATAACTTTAATTTCAATTGGTCTTGAGTTAATTTTTTTTTTTCAAATATTGCATAATTTCTATGGTTTAAAGAAGTTTAACATGACTCTTAATGTGACCATTCCAATTAAACTTTATTTTATACTAACCACAGGAAGCTCAGCCTCTATTAACGAACATATTATGGGAAGAGCTGGAAAGTAGATATCCTGAGGTCCTGGGTAAAGAGAACTTGAATAATGCTAAAATAGAACAACTATTTGGAGAACAGAATGGACATTGATTTGTTCTTCTTTTGTTATATTTTATTTATAATTTTAATTGTTTTGATGTTAGATTCAGATACGTTTTACTGAATATTTTCGAGTGTTCAGTTTGTTTTGTAAATATATAAAACGTTATCCGTTATAATTAAAACTTATTTCATTCAGTGTTTTTTGCTTACTGAACCTTAAACCACTTCCGTAAATTAAAAGCCCATTAATTATTTAGCTTCTCATACAATTAAAGTTTCATTTGAGAAAGCCTGTTTTCCTTTCGCAAATTAACATTTTATAAATTAACCGAAGAAACTCGGGTTTCCGTAAAAATGAAGTTAAATAAAATGCTTTACATATTTCTTGTTTGTGTATTTGAACACGAAAGTTGCGTTCTTACTCCCTCAAATACTTTCTTCAGCGTCACTCTAAGATAAGTTTCTACATTAAAATATCAACAATAAATGCAACGCTTTCTTAAATTTCATGAAAATATTTCTCGTAGAATTTCAAAAATTAATGAGAAAGTCATTCTAAATTTTAGGTGTGTAGGTTAGTGACATTTAGTGTTAACTACAACTCGGAGTTCAGTGTAAAACCTAAAACTTCATATAAATTAACGCTAATTTCATTTGAATCAGAAACTTTTGGCTGCTTTCTAACCAGAGGGCGCCAACACTTTTGTGTCTCTTGCATAGTGCTATTATTTAAAGTTTAGTAATCTATTAAATTGGATTACTCCGAAAGTACTTAAAGTGCATTGAAAGGGACTAAGCTGTCTCTGCTTCACATGGGAAGTAAAATCTCTACATTACTGGCTTCCTCGCTGGCAAAACATAGATTCAGAATTTCCAATAATAAAATGTTACTTTATTGTAAAATAGATAAGTAGTATTCTAAAGTTAATTTAAGAAAAGGTATAACAATGAAAGCTGAAACTATTCAAATACAGCTTTCGGTAGACAGTGGGAAAGCTAGTAACGTAGAGATTAATTCTGTATGTAAAGTCGAGACGGCTTAGTCTGCTATGTGGTCATTAGCCGATCAAGTGATGTCTACTTTCATCCATCTTATTTGATTATTTTTTAAAGTTCATTAGATATCCCTACATACTTTCTCTTTTAATTTAGTGAATTTTTCGAAATATTTGTCTGCATATGATCAGAATAGTGCCCTGGGAACGGTTCATAGGACTGGAATATTACTTTCTGGTAGAAACCATTTAACCATACGTTATTCCTTTTAAATGTTTCACCTGCACATGTTTCCTGTCAGGGTGAACAACACGTTTACTGTATAACCTCCAATGTAATTTCCGGAGATCATTTACTGACCTCAAAAACAATTGTCTTAGTAGTGGAACTAGTGCGTGTGTAACTACATAATATATGGTAACAGATTGAACATCCCTACATTTCCTAGCCATAGTTGTTTATGTCTCGTGCTCCATTATGGTAAACTTTAATTTTGGGGAGTTGAATGAAGTAGGGTATCTTCGCTATCACATGAGGATAAATTTTATTGAGGATGTGGGTGAATTCTTTCTACATTCAAAATAAATATCCTACAAGTGATGATGTTATTTTAACTTGATCTTAAGTTTACCAAGAAGTATAGAATTAAAAGGTTGGTTTGATTGTGCAAGAGCTTTTGAGCATTATCCACTAGTTCGTCACCTTTTTGGTAACTTAAATAAAATTAGTTGTAAACGTAATGGAAATCAATTTCATTATTTTTGAAAAGCCCAGGCCAAGAAAGTTTAAAATATTTTGAGACTGTTAATGTGAAGAGGGATTTTAGTGGAAGTTGGGTGTTTACTAGTCCAACGAAGCTAGTTAAATATGTGTATTTCTATGAAATGTTTTTTCAGTCAAAACTTTACCGAAAGAGATAAATTAAACTATTACGCAAGTGAAACACTTAGCTTGTAAAAACAAATGTATTACTAAACCTACGACGCCGAGTTTTATACAAATAAGTAGAAAAATGCTATCAATAAGTTTGTTTTTTAATCAAAGCCCTCCCCCCTCCTTCGTGACTCGGTTGTAAGTGTGAAAGCTTATAATACTTAAAACCAGTTTCGATACAACTAGCCCTTTCTGCAGTTTTGTGTTTATCAATCCAAGTCTCAAATTTGACTTCAAGGGTTTAGGCTTACACTACCTGAAAAAAGAAAGTCCAGAAAAATATTAGTTTTCTTAAAGCACTTAGAAGAGAATCTTATTGAGGAAGAATGAAATACTGATACAATTCTAAACGGCTTTTTTAACTAGTATCTAAATTAATGAAGGATGGAGATTCCAAAGCTGCCCAATTTCTTTTATGGTTGATAACAGTTGTTATTAAAAAATTTTTTTTCAGAATAGTTTGCGATAAAACGACTTGCATAAAGCTTCGGAGGTATTTATTATTTTAATTTTGCGAAAACCATTTGATTAGTTATGGGAGATTACAAACCCATTAATTTAACGTGTTGGAATCACTTGTCATATTTCATTTAGAAAAGTATGTGAGAAGATTGCATTTAATTAATGATTTATCAACATAGTTTTAAAAGGTTTTTTGCTTCACATATTTTCTTGAATTTCTTTGAGTGGATCTAGGTTGACCTTGGTTTCCAGAAAGCCTTTAAAGCGCCTCGCTTGAGATAATTATTATCGAGATAACGAAATTGTCTTAGTTAAAAGAAAAAAAGATAAAGGAACACTTCTGTCTGCGAGACATTGACAACTGGGGTTCTTCAAGGATTTATTTTAGACCTTTTGTTGTAGATAATTTATGTCAATGACTTGATTAGCTTGTTCGACGAAAATATTTCTAAATTCTCTAGTGATAACGAAGTGGTAATAAATGATTTTGTCGAATTCTTTTTATCCAAAAAATATTGACAGTCTCTGTGAAATAGACAGAATGCGGGAAAATACATTTTAACATTGAAAAATGTAAAACTATGCACCCTGAGTGTGGAGATTTGGAAACGTACTTTTTATGTGATTCCTTAATATAATAGGTAGTCAAGAAATTAATGTCGCGTTTCGGAACATTTTCATTAACCATCCCCTGAAAAAAGTACATTACGTATAATGGTTAAACGAACCGCCTAAACGTCACGTTAGTGAAGCCTATATAATGTGTAAAGCTTAGTATCATCTAATCCCTTATAGTGATGGCACAGGACGAGACACACATTCGGCATGTAATATTGTTTGAATAGAAGAGAAACAACGCCTCTGTAGCCACAAAGAATATCAAAGAAGTTTATGGAAATGTTTTGAACTTTCGTATGTATCAACAATGGTTCAGCAAATTTCGTTCAGGTGACTTTAGTCTTAAAAACTGTGATGGCAGGAGCCGACATGCTGTAAGTTATATTGATGCTCTGAAGACTCTTGTTGAGTCTAACCCAAAGCAACACACTCGTGAAATGGCCATGAAAGTGCATGTCACTTACGAAACAATACGTAAACATCTAAGGAACATGGGAAAACTCCATAAAGATGATGTTTGAATGCCTCAAACTCTCCGATGATCATCGTTTCGGACGTGTAAATGTTACATCGTTTCTTCTGGCGCATAATGCACGTGAACCATTTTTGGCCAGAATTGTTACCGGTGATGAAAAATGGATGCTCTATGCGAATATTAAACGCCAAAAACAATGGCTCAGTCCTAGACAAAAATCCATTCCGACCCCGAAATCTGGACTCCATCCGTAGAAAGTGATGTTTTGCATTTGGTGAGACATCAAAGAAGTAATTCATTTCGAGCTCCTCAATCCACAGCGAACTGTCAGTGCAGAGATCTATAGTCAGCAACTGGAACGTTTAAATCAAGCCCTTCGTCAAAATAGCCCTTTACTCGTCAATCGGAAAGGTGTTCTTCACGACAAGGCATGTCCATATATGGCACGTTTGATGCAACAATAGATTATGAAGTTGAGTTGGGAAGTTCTCCCCCACCCACCATATTCTCCAGATATGGCACCATCAGATTACCATCTTTTTCGTTCACTGTAATACTATCTTAATGGAAAAATATATGAAATGTAGAAGGTGTTAAAGAGGACATCGACATGTACATTTCTTCAAAGCCAAGTGATTTCTTTAATCAGGGCATTAACAACCTGATTGTAAGATGGGAAAAGCAACATCGATAAGAATAGAAATAATTCATTTAATAAATGTTTTGTTTTGATATAAAAGTTGTTCGGGTTTTTTCTTCATCTAGAAAACACCGACATTAATTTCTTGACCTAATAAAACAAACCATTATTTAACTTTCATTTTGTAGTACCACGGTTAATGTTTAGTTCTAGACATTGATGTTTATACAGGTCCATTAATAACCAGTATCTATCACCTGAAGAATATTACACCTTTTCTAGAAATTGGCAAAATAATTCAATGGCGGTAAAGAGCAGCAATTAACCTAAAATATATTTTCAGTTTCTTGCGACTATGAAAGTGGACACTGTTTTAATTTTGTTTGTACGTTCCTCTCGTCGTTCAGTGGTCATTAAGCTGAGTTAATTCGTTCCTAGTTTTTGTACAGGTCTTTCTAGCCCTAATATTTGCACTTCGGTTTCACTTAGTCTTTGTACATTTAGTGTTATTTTGGTTCAAGTCAAGTGATAATGTTATGGTTTAATTCTATGTCCTGTAACCGTGAATTATTTGTGTTAAGTAATAAAAGAACTGCTGTATTGGTTGTGAACCATTGACTGTCTTTCCTTCGTGAACTTTGAGTTCGTCATTAGCGTCATTATTTTTTCATTTTTTTTTCGTATCACTTAAGCAGTTAAAACCTCCAGTGTCATTTTATTGTAGTTCATTAAGATCAAACACTAAGATTATAATTGATTTTGTGTGAAAAGGAGATCACTACGTGTTATTGGCAGTACCTTTAAACTATCTGCTGAATGTTTAACTGTGATGAAAAGAGCAAAGGGAGTTTTTGATTAAAATTGTACGAATTTCGATTATTTAACAATAAGATGAATGATGTTTTATTTGGAGTACTGTGTGTGATTTCATTCTTCATACTACAGGG